AAAAAAAAAAAAAAATAACATGTGACCATCCCATCGATGCGCCGCATGTGGTGACTTAGCAAACGATGGGATGGCCATGATCGCTTCACAAGCCTCCTTTCTTCTTCACGGAAGCAAGCGATGTGTTTGAGGCTGCGTTGCACTTGATCTTGTCATCTGCATGTACGCAACGGTAGTCGACGGCAGGGTCAAGACAGGACCTCCACCCCTGTACTGGTATGCAGCTGTTCCTGCTTATATATATGATCAGCTGGGTCAAATATATTTAGTTTTCCCCTGTCAGGTACACCCTTTCTGAACCAGCATCCATCCACACATTCTGCCCGTCTCAGCAGGCAACTGTCAAATGTTGGAGTTTATGGCGGTCCGCTTCCCCTTCCTATTGGGTGACGAGCACGACCAAACAGTTCTTGACTGGACGCCTAGGTGGCTGTGTCTACGCGGGATGATACTTCACAAGCCATTCTGCGTCGAAGCTATAGCTCCATCCCTGACTCACAAGCTTCGTATGCTACCTACACACCCATCCACAGGGCAAAGATATGTATCACAAGCTGTGAAGCTCTGGAAAACATCACCTTCGACCCACTAAGTCCGGGCGCCGGCTAGGTCGGAATAAGGTTAAGGGAGCCTCCCTTTGTATCCTTGACCTTGTTCAGATTCCGTCATCTCCTTGATAAAGACCCTTTTTAAGCATCTGCCCTACCCGTTATCTTTGATGAGAAAGGTTAGGCCGCCCTACCCACCCGCTGCAGGAAGCTATAAGAGTCATCTATCCTGCTACTTTGATAGAAGAGAGAAGAAAGGCAAAAAGGAAACCAGCCTACCTAAGTGAGGATTTACTGCTATAGTAGTGTGATATCACTGCCTCTTTCTTTTGTTTGCTGTCCTGAGAGACAAGAGTAAAAAAGAGGCAGCCTGCTATATGGATAAGCCTCATGCACACTCGCCATCTTGGTGGTCACTCCATGACGCAGCCTTCTGTTCGCTTGCTTGTTTCTTATTCCCCTAGAGGCCCTCATAGAGCTCGATATCTGCCTTTGTCGACCAGTTCCTTCCGCTGAGGACGCCGAGAAGACTGCACAGTGCCTGGTTTAAAAGGGCTGCTGAACCCCTCCGTCCTCCTTTCACACAGCAACAACAACAACATCATCACAACAAACATCTCTCTCTCTCTCTCTGGCTCTTCTGCTTCCATCACCCACACCTGATAATCGTTTAAAAGCCTTTGAAAAGGACAAACAGGTAAGCTAGGACCTCAAAGTACATGTCTCCTGCGAAGTATACACGATTCTGACGAGGATTTGGGACCCTGCAGCGCTTTTCAACCTTACCAAGTACACCAGGCAGGGCCTCCAAGATGTACTTCAACGTGAGTACCTTCTCTATCGTTCTCTCTGGCTCCCTGCAGCTGAAACGTGTTCTGGGCCACTAACGTCCTTGCAGGTTACCATGAAGCCCGGTGCCCCCGATGAGGCCCTCGCCAAGTAAGTATAACTTTTCATTCAATACGTGTGGGACCGTCTTCTCCTTTCTTCGAGGCGTTTGAATGTGACACGAGCACCCGAAAGAACGGGGATGATAGACATGCATACCACCCTCCTTTGACCGTTTTGCTAACTCCGGAATCTCCAGGGCAAAGGAATCAGCCAAGAAGACTGGCGGCACCATCCGTCACGAGTACAAGCTGATTAGAGGATTCACGTAAGAGAGATCCTCCTTCCCTCTGCTCCTTGTCATCGGTGGTGAAATATACGGTCGAACTGACGAGATGTTGAAACGCCTAGTGTGGAGTACCCTAATGACCACAACCTTGATGACGTCCTCAAGTCCAACGACCACATCCACGTTGAGCAGGATGGCCCTGGGCCAGCTAAGAAGGTCACTGCTACTTCGACTATCTGAAGGACGGCCGAAAATACACAGATGACAGGACTACCACATTTGCTCTTCTTATTTTCTTATCTACCCCCTCTCTCGTATTCCATCCGCTCAGATCATTTTCTCTGTCTTCCTTTGGTAAATTGATCGAATGGGACAAAAAAGGCGTTATGGTTACGGACTTACCTTTCTTTGTTTTTTTCTTTCTTTCTTCTACTTACCCCCCTTTTTTACTTCTTTCACCCAGATGTTTTATTAACAAACTTGATTCCCACTGAGAGGGGGAATACGTGATGTTTCACTATGTGGTAGCTTCGAGCAAATGCAATCAACCAGTTTTAATTAAAAAAAACGGCTCTCCTCAGAATAAGCATCTCTCCGCTTGAAGTCTCGTAACTGCACTCTATCAACTCTCTGCTGTGCTGTTCCTGAATCACCGTAAGACAAGGCTCGAAGCCTATGCCTTAAACCTCTTGTATATCTTCTCTATAAATACAGCCCCTACATTGATGGACTAAAAAGAAGACACGTCTCAGCATCTTACGAGTTACCAGCAAGCTCGGCTGATTCTTTCCCATGTCTGTTTCCCCACACTTGACAGGGCTCGTACATTATCCTTGAAAATGTATTGAAGAATCCTTGCTGCAGCCTATGACGCTTTTAAGCCAGCCGTTCCCCCCATCGCAGACGGCTTGAAAGATGATACGCAGCATGCCTACGGAATGGAAGGACGGGCTTCCGTTTCCCTATCCGTATGCCTCTTTTGCTGCCGTGCATCTCCGGATGTTGGGCTTAGAATATCTGACCAACAATGACGTCGACGGATATTTACGTCTTTCCCCCGTCACCCGTTAAACCCGGAGTAGTAGCAGGGGGGGATGAGAACAATCTCACACAGACCACCTCGAACGACAAGGGCCAGGACGAGGACGAGTTGACTGATGTATCTGGTACATAGTTATCGCTTTCTATCGAGGTCTGCTTGAGCTGCTGTCGTAACGTCATGGCTATCATCTCGGTTGGCCTTCCGGGCCCCCTCTCGAGGCCACACGGTGGCAGATCTGGGATCTGTAGAACCCCCCCAATAATAATCGATATATCCGTCACATACAACGAGTGCTACTGTGATGGAAGAAGGCATCATCCGCCTGCTCTGCGTGGGGGTCTCACAGCTCTGAGGACTGCTGGTTCTTCGTGTCAGACGCTGCACCTGCCGGCAAACAAGGTAACAAGCCAGCCAGGGAGGTTAAGACATCCTTTATATCGTCAGGTCAAGTCGAAAGGGCCCTTTCTTTCTTCTCCTGCTGCCGTCCCCCTATCAAACACTGTAAGACAAACCAAGACGTGGAACTCGGTCGAAGGGTTGGTCTGTTTGGCCGAGCAAAAGAAAAGAGACCCGCGCCCCCCGGCCCACGGAGGCGGTCGATAGAGGGAGAGGGAGAGCGTCTTCATCTTGCTGCCAAATAATATTCCAGTTAGCAGCCGTCACAGACATCCTGGCCAACCGGATCGCAAACGAGCAGACGAAGGCTTGACGCTGCCAGCCAGTCGCAGACTCCTCCACGCCTACCGCAGTCCTCCGCCGTCGTCATAAGCTGATGCTGGTTGGCGCACCGCGGGCATCACACGATAAACTAGTGCCGGCTCCACGCACAGGAAGACATCAAGCATCCATCACTAATAATATAGGAAGAGAAGAGACGCTCCAGGGGAGTTGTTGTGATTGTTGTTGGGAGGAGGCTTGCTTTTTCTTCCTGTGTGCCGCTTAAGTACGGGGCTGCCGCCAGCAACATCGTCATCAGCGATTTTTATATTGACCACCACGCCCACTACTTGCGCAGGACAGGACAGGACAGGACAGGACGTCGGCCGGCGAGAGGAATTAATTCACCATTGGAGCCCGCCTGTCCACAGCATGGAATAGCAGTTGACGCTCCTTTCTAGTTGACCATGGCACTCCTACGAGCAAACCCTCTGCGCATCATGGCAGGGAGCCGGCTGATCGCTGGTGGCCCTTCGCTGCGCTCCCTTTCCTCCATCACAACGAGCAGCTGGTCCTACCCGCCCTCTGCGTCGGATGTATCTAATGACGAGATCACTCGCCTCTCTACGAGTCCCCGTCGGCCTTTGACGCTGGCAGATCTGCTCCGGTAAGTGGCGGGAGAAAGGAAATAAATAATACACCGAAAGTAGAGGCAGAGAGCGCTGACACCGTGGATTAGACATGGCCGGCCGCCGCTCACGAGAGATGCCCTTCTTGCTTCGGCGAACTTCACTCTCTCTCTCCTCCCTGCCAGACTGGCCTGCCGCATCCAGGCTCTGCGAAACCTGCCCTTCATCGTCGTCTCGAACCCCCATATCTCCCAGATCTACAACAACTACCTTCACTCGTTCACCACCTTGCTACCGTTTCAGAAGCGCCGGATCTCAACCACAGAGGAAGAGAAACAGTTCACCGAGATCATGGCGGATCTGGTGCAGACACACGACAATACAATTCCAGTGCTAGCCCGTGGGTTTCTAGAGTGTCGTAAATACATCAGTCCTGCCGAAGTGACTGCATTTTTAGATGAACATCTCAGGGCACGCATCGGCACTCGTCTGATTGCCCAGCAGCACCTGGCACTACACCATGCCTCCCTCTCGGAAAATGGTGAACTCTTGACCTCGCGGGACAAGAATGTCCCGTCTAACTATATCGGCGTAATCGACACGGCTCTTAAGCCTGCCCGTTTGATAAAAGTGTGCGAGGAGTTCGTGGCCGAAATATGCGAACTCAAGTATGGCGTCCGCCCTAGAGTAGTTATCAACGGAGAGCCCGAAGCAACATTCGCCCATATCCCCGTCCACGTTGAGTATATACTCACCGAACTCTTAAAGAACGCCTTCCGAGCAACAGTTGAGGCCGGAAACGAGCGTGAGCCTATCGAAGTAACCATCGCCTCGGCACCCAACATGCCGTCAACCAACAGTATTGAGCAGGCTGTGCCTGAACTCGAGAAAAGCCCAAACTCCCTTGGTACAGGCTCCCAGAATGACTTCCAGATGAGTATGGGCGTGCACAAAGGACGACCCTTAGGGCCTGGTCCGATGTTCGAACCGCTCAAGTCATCTGCACAGAGCATCACAATTCGCATTAGGGACCGAGGAGGTGGCATCCCTCCTGAGATTCTCTCTGATATCTGGTCCTATAGCTACAGCACCTTCAACTCAGATGAACTCCCAGTTAGTGACAATGGGAACGTCGATGCCTTGAATGCGATTTCCGGCAGTGGTGGCCATAATGCCAGCACCATTGCCGGCCTTGGCTACGGACTTCCCCTTGGACGCGCATACGCCGAGTACTTTGGCGGAGGTATCGACATCCAGAGTCTTTGGGGCTGGGGCACTGACGTGTACCTCACCCTGCAAGGCGTTGGAAAAGTGCAGGGTTAAGCCACTCAATATCCCATCTGAATGGAAACCTCTTACCAGTTTCCTTGTGCACATACAGATATCCCCATGTCTTTCCATTTCTGACCGTCCCGTTCATCTGCTACACAATACCGGGCTGGTATATTGTTAGCCTGGCTCCGCTTCTCGTTCTGGGAAGCGCTATTCCGTAGGATTATCTCTTACACATCTACGAACATCACTGAATTGCAAGGTTATGGTGTTCACCACTCCATCAATGCTGTTGACATAACGGAAATGGCCGGCCTTTATGAATTAAGAGCCTCGACACACTCGAAGTCCATTCTGTTCAATCAGATGGTATACACAAGTTATCTCCTAGCCTGGGCAAAGGGCTACATGAAAAACTTGGAGATTTTTGACTGCCTAACCCAACCGATTGCCAATTACTGTCTACTCTAAACAAGAGAATCACCCCGAGACAGCTCCAACTTCTCTTTTTGAGGGTCTTGAAATTATTCACTCTGACATTGTGCAAAGCGACATAGATGTTGTTTCGCAGCAATGTTCCCATACACTCAAGAAGGCCTCGAAGTTGTCATCGTTTAAAGGCATGGATATGGATGTTTTCAAAGGCGTAGCGACATAGCCTAAAGGCGTGGGCGGATTATTATTTTTACTTTTCTCTTCTGGCCGTTTAGTGTACGTTTTTTCTATGTGGGATGCTGATCTAGTGATCCGCTGTACAATGGCTAAGACGGCTAAGATTAGAGAGGAGTTGGGCGGCACTTATCAGCGTAGCGTTTTACCTTGTTTTTACCCCTTTCGATATCTATAAGTATCAATATATCAATATATTATAACTACAGTTTTTTCCTCTTCTTCTCTAGACAATGTAGTGGTATATTAAATCTCCTATCTATCGTTATTTGAATAAACTACCCAATAAGTCGTAGATACAACATGTCATCCCCAGCTCTGGGCCATAAAACCTAGTTATGCACCTTTTCTTGAAGTAATAAAGGAAACACGAGGTGGATTTCCATGCTCAACGGGTAGAAGGAGCAGGAACGCTTTGTCTATACCCATTGTCACGCGCTTCTTGGAAAACCTTCATCTCTTCTTCGGCCGATGCAGGCTCACCCCTGTATGCTGCAACTCCGTCTGGCTGTAGGGTAATTCCAACGCCAAGGCAAGTGATAACAACGACCATCTCTTCCAGCACAGCCATGACCAAGTAGATGGTAACATTGCCGGAAACAGCGCTGAACCTGCGACTATGGCTAAAAGCACTGATCAAGCTGTATAGCAAGCGGATAAGGATGAATGGGAGAGAGATTGCAACTGCAAGCAGGAGTCTCTTTTCTCCTGCGGGAAGGCTGTGCTTGTTGCTGTTGATAATAAAGGCTAAACCGACGGTGATAACCCAGACTCCGAGAGTAACGCAGATGGCTGCTTTGCTCTTTGCGTTTGGCTTGTATGACGTGGCACCGTCCTCCTGGCTGTTGATACCGATGATGCTGAGAATAAGACCGAGTAACACCAGGAGCCCGACCACCCGAAATATGATGGGGGGGATTCCCTTCCGGCCTCTGTTTACTATAGAGTTGTTTCTATTGGATATTATATATTAGCAAATGTTTGAAGTAAGCCGGGCACGTTCCCTCTCTCGGATGGGGGCTCATACGCTCTTTGCAGGAGGCCGACGCAGGCTAAGATTAGCGAGGATATTCCAGTAGATTTACACGCCGCTGCCCCCTTAATAAGACCTTCAGTGGGATTTGCTATGGTTGCCAACTCCAAGCATGAGCCGATAACGCGGACCAAGGAGAGCACGACGAGAAAGTACCATCCTGCTGACTTGGCAAAGCCATGTCGTAGTGCAATATAAACTGCAATGAAGAAGCAAGGGAGATAGACGATTAGGCTGAAGATTGCAACTCCATGTCTATAATCGACAGCCATGGTGGGCTTTGTTCTGAGGAGCCTGCACAATAGAATGAATCGGAAAAATCGTAATATTCAGAGAGAATAGAAGGTATTGACCTGTGACTGACTGATGCTGATCTGTATACCACGGTTGAAGGAGAGAGTGACGGTTTATAAAATCATCATTTCGCCGGGTATCAGTTCATCGGAGATCCTAGAAATCCACCTCGAGTGGCTAGGAGACTGGCACGGCCACAAGTGTACTTTTCTTCATCAGGGTATCGGGCGAGACTTCAGCTGTCGTGGGCCACAGCCATGAGGGAGAGCGCCTGGCTGCATGACTCGCCTAGGCACATAGTCACAATGCAAGGTAGGTAACTATCCAATTGACTCGCGACCTTTAGCCGACGGTCTGCAAGGCTGCACTTCTGCGAAGCCTGCGAAATTTTTTCATGCAAGGAAGTTGAAAGTTGAAATTTGGAGCTGAAGCCTCTTCTCGTTATGCTTGCCCAAAACGGGTCGGGGCGCATCGAATCCTTCTCGCCGCAGGAATATTGATATTCATGAAAGCAGAACAACAGACTGCGAGATGGAGAAGATGGAGACCTGACGGCATACAACGCGCGTTCTTGAGCTATGCAACTATGGAAGATCAGTCGGCAACGATGTGCCGGCGGAGATGAGCAAAGTTTTGAAGGAGCGAACTTGGCTCAGCCTTCGAGTGCTTATCACCATCAAGCTTCACGCGAGGCTGAGCAAAACGGGGGTCGCCCTCTTGGTATTCAATGAAGAGGCTGATCATAGATGGTTACCTCCGTAACCATCAGGCGGGTTAATGAGCCCCGAGATGTGCGTTGACTCGTTGGCTGGGCGCCTTGAAACCAGAACGTAGGGGTTCTTCGCTCAACCGAGCTGGAGTCAGGCACAAACCAACACATCTACTAGAAACAGCGTCGGAAGATACCCTCAATGTTCTGGAATACGACTCTGAACCAACTAGTTATATTGAATACCCTCCTGCAAACAATACTGAAAATGGGAAGTTATAAACATTATGAAGTTTATTTCTCCTATGACGTATGAGGGACATGGACGTTACTCAAGCTCTATGCTCACTTCGCCTCCATAGATATGGTCATCGAGAAGAGACAATAGAGCTGTTGCACTATTACCTCTAGTATCTTTGGGCCTAAATATCTCCAAAATACTACAGAATGCGTCGTATCGTCGTTGACGCGGAAGACCCGGGGGAGCCTACTCGAGATCATCCCTCCAAGCATCCCTCAAAGCTAGGCGAAGCAAATGAGACGAAAGTTCACCCAAAGAGCTCTGGAGGAGAAGATGGAAACATCTTCTTTGTAGGGACAGCAACGACGTTCATGTACGGAGCCCCTTAAGTCCTCTAGCAGCATGGCCGAGCTAATAACCGTCTGCCAGAGAATGGGCAAATATAAGGATCATGACCGACGTATTTCCAACCAACGAACCATCTATTTATATCTTATACTGATTGATCTCATAGCCAAACTTCTTACACGCTGGAGATCATGTTCATCTTGGCCCAGGGGTGAGCTACCCTATAACCCTCTATGAAGGGTGTTCCTGACTTGTGGACACCAGGTTACGGGAACGCGAGTCACGAATCCTGCGATCGATCTCCACGATATACCACCTGTTCACTTCATTCTTCTTTCACACTATCATGCGTATGGTGTCACTCTCAAGCCTGTGATGCTTTTGGGGGGATGGTTATGCTGATATTATCACTTTGAACAAGGGACCATTTTGACCAAAAAGTGGAAGGTTCTCTTACCCGTGATATACCTATTATAACAACACCTCATGCTAAGGGCTGCCTCGAATCGAAGGGGGATGACTCCTTTACCAAAGTAGAAGCCCTGGATACCTACCAGAGCATGTTAATCGAAATAAAATCCAAGGAGGCAACCAGCAAAAAAGAGCCAGCAATCAAGGTGACTGCTATGCCTGGAAAGCATGTCCCACCTGGCCCATTGTCCACTGCCAATGATATTTTAAAGGCGGTATGACCTCCATTGCTGGATATTTTCTACCAGCAGGAGTCTAAACATACTCTCTTAGGTTCCGCTAACAAATGGCTGGATGGTCGAACTAGGCCACACAACTCAGTACCACCACGTGGAGGGAGATTTTGAGACGAACTACAGGTAGAGTAGCTCCACGAAGGATCGATATATAATGTAGCTAACGCAGTCTGTGATAGAATCTACATCTCTGGAGACACCTTGATGTGTGATGAGCTAAAGGAGATCCCGAAAATCTATGCTGACCAAAAGATAGACTTGATGCTCATCCACCTTGGAGGCACCACCATCCCGTCTCCTAATATACCCTTATTGATGGTAACAATGGATGCAAAGCAAGGAATAGAGCTACTGAAACTGGTTTGTCCAGATATGACTATTCCAATTCATTACGAGTGAGTCACCCTAGGAGAGCCTGTAATCTACAGATATTTGTTGACTATTTTATTAGTGATTATGATGTCTTTCTATCACCGCTATCAGACTTCAAGAAAGCGGTGGAGGAGGCCGGCTTAAGTAGCAAAGTGGTATACCTAGACCGCAAGGATCAGTATAAATTCAAAACCACATGGACTGACGGTAGTTAAGCTGGGGTGAGCCTACGAAGTGTGAGGGTAAATTGAAGTACAAAACCTATCATCTATAACTAAAAGCAAAGATGAGTAAATAGTAACTAGTTATTCGCCCAATGAAAATTGACAATATTATGGTTTTAATAGACCAAGAGATAACTTACAACCGAAAGATATTATACACGGTATTAATACATTCTAAGCCGGGTTAAAAGTGCACCTTTAATATTTGGCAAAGCAGAGACTGCTATTCGTTCCCCCAAACCCAAAACTATTGGTGAGTGCAACTTCGACATTCCTTTGCAGCGCATTGTTGGGAACATAATTGCAGTCAAATTCGTCGGTTACGTTATCCAAGTTGATAGTAGGGGGAAGGACACCCTAGATGCTAGATGTTAGGTATAAGAGCAAAAAAATCAAGAAGCAAAAATATTGTACCTGATCAATAGCCAGAATAGAGAAAGCAGCCTCTATTGCGCCGGCGCCACCCAACATGTGTCCTATAGCGCCCTTTGTGCTGCTTACGTTTATTTCTGAGGCTTTGGCTTTACCTTCAGATCCAAGAAACAATGACTTGATTGCCAGATTCTCGGCTGCATCCCCAATTGGAGTCGACGTGCCATGGGCGTTGATGTAGTCGATTTTACTCGGAGGCACTCCAGCATTTTTAAGGGCACGCTTCATGGCAGAGAAAGCACCTCTACCTGTCTCATGTGGTGCGGTAATATGGAATGCGTCAGCTGAGCATCCATATCCTTTAAGCTCGGCATAAATATGGGCATTTCGAGATATTGCATGTTCAAGTTCCTGCAAGGCATGTTGTAAGTATTGTAGATAAGAAGGGAGGCTTTAATGGTAGTTGGTACCTCTAGCACAACAACCGCGGCACCCTCTGCAACGACAAAGCCCTGCCTGTCTCTGTCAAATGGGCGGGACGCCCTGTCTGGATTATCGTTGAAGCCGGTAGCAAGACTCCGACATCGTGCGAAGCTTCCTATCGCTAGTGGGTGTATACATGATTCAGCTCCTCCAGCAACCATGACGTCTGCGTCGCCATGCGCAATGAAACGAGAAGCATCACCAATAGAATGCGCTCCTGTCGTACATGCTGTTGATACCGAATGATTGGGACCCTAGTGATGTTAGCAAAGATGCATGAATTACGCAGGAAACAGACAAGTATGAGGCTGGAAACGCGCAAAATGCATACCATGAAACCATATTTCATCGATATATGCCCAGCGCCTAAATTAATAAGGAGTTTTGGAACAAAAAGTGGTGACACTTTCCGATATCCCTAATCATGGTTGTAAGTAAGAAAAATGTTATGCTTGCATGAGGTAAAATCTATCACCCACGCCATTATGATATGCGATAGAAGTATTAAATGCTTCATCAAAGTTCCCAATCCCAGAGCCCAGGCACACTCCCTATGGATTTTTATTAACGGGTTAGAGACATATTAGCTCGATATTTGTAAGCTTGGTATCTACTAACCGTCATGTCTTTGGACTCTTCCGTAATAGGCATCCAGTTTGCATCTTCGAGTGCTTCTTGTGTAGCAGCCAGGGCGTACTGGGAATATAACGCCATTTTTCGTTGCTCCTACTATGTCTATTAGAAAGGGTATCTGGGTATTTGCATATTCAGAGTATAGTCTTACATCTCGGGTCAGCCATTCAGAGGCATCCCATCCTCCTTGGGCCTTAGACCCCTTAGGAACAACACCCGCAACCTGGCATGGCTGCTCAGCGAATCTTGAATCTCTATCTTTTATAGAAATAATTCCACTGTGGCCATCTAGCAGCCTTTTCCATGTATGTCTTATTCCTAAGAAGCATTTTTAGTTACTGTGTATTAAAAAAAAAAATGCATGTTAGGGATGCAACATACCTACTCCAAGGGGAGTTACAGCACCCAATCCAGTAACAACAACACGGCGCATTCCACCCCTTGTATAGTGTCCGCAAAATGGACGGCTCCCTTTCAAGTTCAACAAGCAACAACAGTGGTATATCCCAGTCTCGACGTATCTTTACTCTATTTTAACATGCTATCTCTTGATCTCTTGATGCATGAAACTCGAAGTTTGATTCTTTGAAACCCAGCTTGATATCGGAATATTTATTCTCCAGATTTAAGGCTCGAGCGAAGTCCACCGGGGCAACTGGCGAATAAACACGCAGGGAGTAATCAATATTGGTGGTAGAATATAGATCTGAAGAAAGAGTGCGAGGCAAGGATTTTGAACTTGTGCTCCCTGCCGTTATGTCGGTACTAGTAGTCGGCTTTCTCGCCGTAACTAGTTAACTAACTACCTTGTTATGGAGTCTTCCGCAGCTACAACTCGCCCGGCCGATACCAAATCATTAACTATTAGCCGGACATTATGGAGAATAAACCCACTTAATGTTATGGTTATAAGAGCCGGAGTTACGAGTTTATATCAGGTGATGATTATATCCGAAGCAGCTACAGAGTAGAATTTATATATCCCGTTCAGATCCCACCGACTTTTCTGTCGGCTTTAAACCCCGTGCTATACATAAAGGGGGGTAACTAGGCACGATGGTGTACTTGAAATACAAGACGCTTGCTTTGGCTGGAGCCATACTCAGTGCTCAAGTGGTGGACTGTCATAGTCACCATGAGGAGGGACAGATACCGCTGAGCCAGGAGGAACTGGAGCATAAATGGGCGCCGGAGTTGGTGAGTACATAGTATCTTCTGCTGCCTGAAGGATTAACTACTTGTATGCTATATGTATTCCCTATGATTAACAACAGAGGCAGTCTGCATTTGCGACCATGGGCAGCTTTGGTGGGCTGAAGCATGTCCCATGCCTGACGAAGCCAAATGAGCTTTACGATATTGCTATCATTGGAGCGCCGTTCGACACAGCGACTTCATACCGGCCCGGAGCACGGTTTGGGCCTCGGGCAATCCGCGAGGCCAGCGGCCGCCAGGTCGCAGCCCGTTCATACAATGTCCGGGCTGGTATCAACCCTTACTTGGACTGGGCCAAAGTCATAGACTGCGGAAACATCCCCATCACCCAGATGGACAACAGGATAGCAGAAAGGCAGATGTTTGAAGCCTTCCTAGAACTAGGCACGAGGAAGACCGCCTACCAGCCGCAAAAGAAAGGCGACAAGTCCAAGAGACAAGCGAGGATATCAGACGGAAAGCCCAAGCTGGTAACTCTTGGAGGAGACCACAGCATCATCCTGCCGGCCCTGCGAGCGCTGAACCAGATCTATAAAAAGCCGATCACCGTCATCCACTTCGATGCGCACCAGGACACGTGGGAATCCTCCCGCTACGACGGGTACTGGAAGCCAGACGTTGACGGTCTCAATCACGGAACCTGGCTGTTCCATGCGGGCCAGGAAGGGCTGATTTCAAACACCACGTCGGCCCACGCGGGGCTGCGATCCTATCTCGGCGGATCTGATGATAGAGATTACCGTACCGGGGTAGAGAAAGGGTTCATGCGCATCCACGCGGATGATGTCGATGACATTGGCACTCAGGGGGTGGTCGATGCGATTGTCTCGCGAGTCGGTCTCGACCCAGACCAGCCGGTCTATATCAGTTTGGATATCGATGTTCTTGACCCCAGCATTGCACCTGGAACAGGCACGCCGGAGTCAGGTGGCTGGACGTCCAGGGAGCTTGCTAGGATCCTCCGCGGGCTGGAGAAGCTGAATGTGGTTGGAGCCGATGTGGTGGAGGTCTCGCCCAGCTATGATCATCGTGCGGGAGGGACTGCTCTTGCGGCTGCGCATGTAGTCAACGAGATTATTGCAAGCATGGTGAAACTCGGAGTTGAAGATCCAGACGCAGTCGGGGGCTGGTTTGGTAGAAAGGGCAACAAGTCCGTCAAGGAGGGTGTGATGGAGTCATATCAAGAGGGCGCAGCAGGCTCAGAAGCCCGAAAAGACGAGCTTTGATGGGATTCATTAAACTATGTTATTTGTCTTATGTGAGTCGTGCTTTATAGAACGGACAGGTTCGACTATACACGGCGATCCATCACAACTTTTTGTAAATAGTCAATTTCACTTGCCTTCAGCTTGAGGCTGGTGGTATATGGGCAACCTGACCTTTCACATTACAAGTAATATTTTATATTATTAGGGGGATTATAATTTTTTTTTTTTTTTTTCGAACACTTTTTCATTCAAGGCATCTGCGCGTCATAAAATCTAAACGTCATAAGAAGTACGAGACGGGAAATCGACAGGCCAGGCAAACGGAGAGGAAAAGCGGAGGAACAAAACACAAGGGAATCGGGGAGGGGAGAGAGAAAACACTTGTTGTATTGGCCCAGCGAGTTTCTGTCATCTTGGATTAATAAAAAGGGGGAATAGTAAAACAGATCAAGACCAGAAGAGGGGAGGGCAGGCGTGTCACCTTTCTCGGTCGTGAAGGTTCCCTCCCAGACCAGCATAGCATGCATTTCGGATTTCGAGGGGATAGGTAAAAAGCAGGGGACAGACAAGCTGCATGCGAAAGGGGAAGAAAAAAAAGACGGGAAAACAGAGCCAGGGTTATTGCAAATCAAATAACAAAGACAGGCAGACGGGTTGATAAGAGGTGAGGAATAAAGGGGGGGAAACAAAGCAAAAACAAAAGAAAAAGAGTAGGATTGAAAAGGCACAGTCATAAAAAAAACGGATTCATCCGATTGAAATTTTCCTTAGCGCGCCGCCCATAACCCCCATTATGTGATTGTCATGTAACTCTGGGTGTGAGGATGTTGAAAGAAAGAGAGAGAGAGAGAGAAAGGAAAAGAAGAGGAAGGGAGAGAGAGGTAGGGGAAGGGGGGGGGGGGGAGGGAGAGCATCGTGAGATACCAGTTTAAGAGCATCTAAATAGCGAATTGTCCGGATAAATACGCAAGAGCCCCGATCAACACCCATTGTCCGCGAGATTTTAACCGATGTATCAAATGTCAGATGGCACTGTAACCTTCTCTCTGTGCTGGCAGGGTCGAGTCTACAAGAGTAGAC